ATTTCACTGGTTTTCACACAGTACTCACGTTTTATCTCAGAAACCATTAAAAATCCATCTTTACAAATACATGACAACATCAAAATAAATGCAGTGAGATCTAACATCAAAACTGTTAATTACCTTGCACTAGTAGTTTTAGCAGTTCCCAACAGATGTCAAGTAATGCTGTACTTCCCTCAAAAACGTAAAATATCCCATTGGTACTCCTATGGCACCCCCAGGACATCTCTGCACAGTTTGGGCTCCTCAGGTATACAAGCTATCAGCGATGACTCTATTCTGAGGAAGAACAGGTGAAAAGCTAGTGACAGAAACTGAACAAGTAACAGATATGAGCAAGGGAGAAAAACAGAGTAAGGGACATAGAGGGAGAGCAAAAGCAAAGACAAGACAAGAGGCATGGGGGAGCAAGACAGAGTAGCAAAGATAGAACAGAACACAGAGAAAACAATAAAGCAAGACAAAGACAGAAAGAAAGAAACAGACAGATGGTCAGGAAGAGACAGATGCATAGAGAAAGATGAATAAGGAGGGACAAAATGATGAACAGGGAGACAAATGGACAGGGAGACAAAAACAGACCAAAAGGCAGGGGCAGGGAGAAACGGACTAACAGTGAAGGAGGAGAGACAATGATTGGGTAGGGAGACTGAAACAGGGGGCAAACGGGGGACACACGGGAGAGAGAGGATCAGAAAAAAAGTGAGACAGAATTAGGCAGACAGGAATGAAAAAGAGGGAAGAGTGAGTCAGAGAGACAAGGCAACACTGTCAAAGAGGAAGACAGGCAAGAATAGATGCAGATATGAGGACTGAGAAGGAGTAGGCAAAAGGAAGAAACACTGAGTGAGACAGAGAGGAAGTGGGCACACATGCGAGAAGAAAGGAAAGGAGGCAAGAAGAAAAGGAACTCAAGAAAATCAGAAGAAGAAGGGGAAAGAAGCTCCCCCTCACATCACCCCAACCTTGGGGAACAGGGATTGCACTCATAAATTCATTACTTAAAGGCATGACCCCTACAGTCTACTAGTATATGAAAAAGAAGTACAAATTATCACAATAATTATTAAAGACACTGAGTTCCATATACTTCAGGGTTTTTTGGTCAGAGAAGAGACTCTCTCTTTGCATATTATTAGCAAATATAATCTATATTCTCTTACTTCAGATATTAATATTCTCATAGAATTTCATGGAGCCTTGTGAGCTTCCAAGAGTCTCTGCTCCAAGCATCCAATATAATATGCCAATAATTTGTTTTTCCTAGAAAGATATAATCACATAAAATTACATAGGAATCAATTTTAAAAGAATATTAAATTTGAATGCATTCTGTTTTTAGGACATACCAGCTACACATTTCCTTTCAAAGTGATATAAGACAAGCATTAATTTAGTTTTGGGTGGTTTTTTTAGCTGTTTATTGAAATTCCAAAACTAATAAAGGAAAAAGTACAGAGAATAATATTCTAAGCCCCAACATGTCCAATGCTGAGCTTCAACAATTATTAACATTTTGCCAGTGTCATCAACTGATGCCAATGTCATCAGTCACATTTTAACCATAAGAAATAAAATTCTAAATACACTTCCAACTTTTTTCTTTATTAGTTTCATAAATTTTTAAAATGCATTTTTATTTAATCATATTGGACTTTAAATAAATTACTGATAATCATTATGAAATTATCAAACAAACATTTGACTAGTGTTTCCAGAATTAGAATCTCTGTTCTCAGATTCAATAAATCTATGTCTGTACATTTCCTTGGTATTTACATATCCCAGATTTTCTATATATTTTACAAATGAAGATCATACAAAATCTGTTCCAGGAAAACAAAGTGTTACCACTGAATAGTCAGAATTATGTTGTAAAATTAAGTGGGAAAATACATTATAATCTAATTCAGCGATTCTCAAATGTTGCTGCACATTATCGTGACCCGAAGAGCTTTAAAACATACAGATCCGGCTGGGCGCGGTGGTTCATGCCTGTAATCCCAGACTTTGGGAGGCCGAGCTGGGCGGATCACGAGGTCAGGAGATCGAGATGAGCCTGGCCAACATGGTGAAACCTCGCCTCTACTAAAAATACAAAAATTAGCCAGGTGTGGTGGTGGGCACCTGTAATCCTAGCTACTTGGGAGGCTGAGGCAGAAGAATCGCTTGAACCCAGGAGGTGGAGGTTGTGGTGAGCCAAGATTATGCCACTGCACTCCAGCCTGGGCGACAGAGTGAGACTCTGTCTGAAAAAAAAAAAAAAATACAGATGGTCAAGTCCCAAGATTCTGATTTAGTCAGCTTAAGGTGCATGCAGTCAGTTCAGATTTTTGTTTTTTAATGTTGCCCAGGTGATTCTAATGTGCAACCACAGTTATGAATCACTGATCTAGTCCTCTTCCTGCCAAATACAAAAATTTTCCCCAATGTCCCTATGTGGTAGCTACATAACATTCAATTCCAAAACTTACGACATCTCCAACAATTTTATTTGGGGGCAAATTGAACTATGTGAAAGTTCTAACATACCCACTGGTTCAAATTCTGTTTTATGTGGTCACATAAAATGATTCTAATTTTTGTTCATTATCAGTTATGAAGTATCCCCTAAGTACTCTATGTTAAACTTTTCTTCAACTATTATCTTTACAACAATTTTCAAACCCATTCCCATGTGGTGATGGCTCATTTCTAGAGAAGTTCAGTGATCCTTTTAAAAACACAGCACCTATAACCAATACCCAATACTCCAAAAAACGACAGTCTGATTAATGCTCTGCACAGTAGTACTATCACCTTTTTGTTGTTGTTGTATAAAACTTAATACATAGCATTAATGTTTTTTAAAGTTGTATCTTATTACTGGCTCATACCAAAGAAACAGCTAAACCCTTAGATTATATTAATTGCAATCATGCTACCATTCTTCTATCCTACAGATTTTTTTAAACTTCATATCTATTCAATTCTATTAAATGTAACTACTGGGTTGGTGCAAAAGTAATTGCGGTTTTTGCCACAATGACAAAAAACACAATTACTTTTGTACCAACCTAATAGTAGTGTGCTAGAAAATGTTTCCTGGGGTGTTTTTAGGCAGGTTTGCCAATTTCTATAGTGTAAATACTCCCATTGTGGCCAATTTCAAGCTACCAGCAGTGAACACTGGGTTGAGAAGAGATAAAGACAATTATCATAATCTCGTGTGAGACAGTTCCAGCACACCACTAAATTTAATTCATCATTCTTAGCCAGAGTTTTCCACCACAGACTCTAAAAACATATTTTGAAAATAATATTTCCCAATCCACACCTAAGATTCTATGTAGGAGATATAGAGTGGGATCTGGGTATTTGCATATTTTTAACAATCCCCAGGTAGTTCTGAGGCACACGCTCAGGAAAAAAAACACTTTTGGCTGCCACTAATCTGTCAATACTCTTTGGTTATAAGTTGTTCAATCAACTCCAAATCCTCCTAACTATATTATCATTCATCTCGCATATTTTGATCCTCCACAAGAACAGGTTTTAAAACCTGTCATGACAGGTTTTAAAAAACAAATTTTATGCCCATGACATTCTCCTATTCAATTAAGAGAACTAACTTCAAAAGAAAATTAGGGCTAGGCATGGTGGCTCATGCCTGTAATCCCAGCACTTCAGGAGGCCAAAGTGGGCGTATTACCTGAGGTCAGGAGTTGGAGACCAGCCTGACCAACATAGTGAAACCCCTTCTCTACTAAAAATACAAAAATTAGCTGGGTATGGTGGCAGGCACCTGTAATCCCAGCTTTACTTGGGAAGCTGAGGCAGGAGAATCACTTGAACCCGGGAGGCAGAGGTTGCAGTGAGCTGAGATTGTGCCACTACACTCCAGCCTGGATAACAAGAGTGAAACTCCGTCTCCAAAAAAAGGAAAAAGAAAATCATATGTGTTTGGCATGGCTTGCTTTTGTGAATCAATATGAGCTTCTAGAAGATGAGCAGATTACTGAATATTGAAAAATAATCCATTTAAGGAAGGTCCACTTCCAGGTCAGAAGGAGGACCTGAAGGCCAACTACCACCTATAAGTTAAACAAACAGAAAACTGAATAATATACCTAAGTCATTTGTTTCAAGGTAACAAACAGCTGCTGAAAGAGCAAAAACTAGAGGTAAAGGACCTAATTCCAGAGAGGGAAGAATCTTAGAGAGGTGAACTTACCTTCTGAAGACACTTAGCCTAGAACATTTACCAATTTGACAATCAGGTGTGAAGCCTAGAACCTGAAATTTATACCTGCAGAGGGCTGATGCTAAGAGCCAAAAATAAAGCAACAGAGATTTTAGCAGAGAAAAAAGCTTACACTTTTAAAAACTAGAAAAAGAAGGATAAATTAAACCCAAAGAGCACAGAGCAAGGAAATATTAGAGTGGAAATCAATAAAATACAACATAGGTAAACAATAAAGAAACGTGATGATACCAAAACAGGTTAGTTTGAAAAGATCACACAGGCTTGAAATTAGACAACAAAAAAAATCTAAGGCCATGCGGTGGCTCATGTCTATAATCCTAGCACTCTGCGAGGCTGAGGCAGGAGGATCACTTGAGGCCAGGAGTTCAAGACCAGTCTGGGCAACACAGTGAGACCCATCACTACAAAAACAAACAAACAAACAAACAAACAAAAAACCAAAAAACTAGCCAGGCATGGTGGCACCCACTTGTATCACTTGTGCCCAGTAGTTTGAGGCTGCGCCACTGAACTCCAGCCTTGGCGACAGAGTGAGACCGACTCCAACAAACGAACGAAAAGAAACCAAAACGCTATAGCTGATATAGCCCGAAGTTTATCTGATTTATCTATTATATGATATTCCACTCTAGGGATTGTCCACTCCCTTGATGGCTACCTCCAAGAATTGAGAACCACATACAGAGCTCAAGAAGCTTTCATTAAAACAACTTCTCGGCCGGGCACGGTGAATGCCCTCCAGAAACTGAAAATCCGATCTTCAGCTTCAGCGTCAACCCGCGAGCCCTTGCGTCGCGTAGAAGCGAGGATGGAGTGCGGCGACGAGGCGGCCATCGAGAGGCACCGCGTCCACTTGCGCTCCGCCACGCTGCGCGACGCCGCCCCCGTCGCACTACACCTGCTGCCCTGCGAGGTCGCGGTGGACGGGCCCGCCCCGGTGGGGCGCTTCTTCACGCCTGCCATCCGCCAGGGCCCCGAGGGACTCGAAGTGTCATTTCGGGGCCGCTGTCTACGGGGCGAGGAGGTGGCGGTGCCGCCTGGCCTCGTGGGATACGTGATGGTGACGGAAGAGAAGGAAGTGTCCATGGGGAAGCCAGACCACTTGCGGGATTCCGGGACTGACGATCAAGAAGAGTCGCCGCTGGAACGGGACTTTGACCGCTTCATTGGAGCCACTGCCAGCTTCAGCCACTTCACCTTGTGGGGTCTGGAGACCATCCCTGGCCCGGATGCCAAAGTGCGTGGGGCCCTAACTTGGCCCAGTCTTGCGGCAGCGATTCACGCACAGGTGCCCGAGGACTGAGAACCAGAGCTTGAAATTCAAAGCTGCGATCCCTTCACAGCAGTAAACCAGCTCTTTGGAACCACTGATTCCATCACCCCAATAAAGGAGCTCTTTACAGCAAAAAAAAAAAAAAAAAAAGAAAGAAAATCCGATCTTCAACACTGTCACGAATTATTTGTGTAACACTGGGTAAACCAGCAGACAGCTCCCAGCTTTGGTTTCCTATGATGAAAAATAAGGCAATCTCTAAGACCCCTATCCATTCTAACATTCTATGAGTCCAGGATTCGTTATGGCATGGACTGTCTACTGACAAATTTGCCTACTCTGGCCAACAGAGTTCTAGTGTGTCTAAACCCAGCAGGGTGATGCTCATAAATAAATACAAGATTCCTGAAGTAGTCTATTCAGTAAAGAAGTGTGAGATAATTACTTCCTTATTTCTGAACACTTTATTTACATTAATACTTTCATCAGATTAGATTATCTGGGGCTATATTACATTTAAACAACCATATACTTAGTAGTATCCAAACCAGGCACTTTGGATGCTACTGACTACAATTAACCAATACTGCCCTAAAAATCTTGTTCTCCCTTTTCCCTTATTTTCCTAAATGATTTTTTGGTATTAAGCAGAGAATTTGAGATTTTTCTTCATTAGCCCACATCTTAATATATTTAGGCTACCATCTTAGCTTCTTGGATTCTGACATTCCAGAATATCAGCTATTCTTTCCAGCTAATAAAGTAAATTGATTCTGAATCGCATACTACTGTATATCAGCATTCTCATCAAAAACACTGATTAAAATGCTCATTAAAATTGCCAAACAACAGAAAAGGGTTGCAACAGAAATATAGTTTCCAGTTAAAAAAAAAAAAGAAACTAGAAAAAGAGGAAATTAAACTCAAAGAAAGAAGGAAGAAAATAATAACAATCGAAGAGGAAATCAATTAAAAAGAAAACAGGGTCAGGTGTGGTGGCTCACACCTGTAATCTGAGCACTTTGGAAGGCCAAGGCAGGAGGATCCCTTGAGCCCAGGAGGTCAACACCAGGCTGGGCAACATAGTGAGACCCTGTCTCTACAAAAACTGGAAAACTTAGCTGGGCATGGTGGCATGCGTCTGTAGCCCCAATTATGCAGGAGGCTGAGATTGGAGGAATGCTTGAGCCCAGGAGGTTGAGGTTACAGTGTGCTATGATTGTGCCACTGCACTCCAGCCTGGGCAACAAGATGAGACAAGACAGACAGACAGACACACAGACGAGAGAGAGACAGAAAGAGAGAGAGAGAGAATGAGAGAGAGAGAGAGAGAGAGAACAGAATGAGACAAAGAGAGAACAGGAAAAAATCTGAGAGAAAAATCAAGAAAACAAGTGGCTGGTCCTTTGACTAAGACAGTAAAATTGATAAATCTCTAACCAGACTGATGATGATGATGCTAGAGGAGAAGGATGAGGAGGAGGAGGAAGGGGATGAAGACAACACAAATGGCCAGTATCAGGAATGTGAAAGTTGACAAGGTTATAGCTTCTATCACTATGTAAAGGATAATAAGGAAATATTATGAATAACTTTATGCCAATAAATTTGACAATTTAAATTAAATAGACAAATTCCTTGAAAGATACCAACTATCAAGAGTTCACTCAAGAAAAAACAGATAACCTAAACACTCCTATTAAAATCTTCCCATGAAGAAAGTTCCAGGCCCAGATGACTTTATTAGTGGATTCTACCAAACAGTTAAAAATAATAACATCAGATATATATAAACTCTTCTGCACTAATGAAAAGAACTCTTTCCACCTCCTTCTATGAGGTAAACATTACCCTGATACCAAAACAAGACAAAGACATTATAAGACTTCTAGAGAAAAATATCCCATATAAATATAGATGTAAAAATTCTAATACAATTTTAGCAAATCTAAGTCAACAATATATAAAAAGGATACGTAATGACAAAGTGGGGCTTATCCTAAGAAGGCAGGGTCAATTTAACATGTAAAAATCAATTTAATTCACCATATTAACAAACTAAAAGACAGAAGCTGTATGATCATCTCAATAAATATGAAAAAAGCACCTAACAAAGTGCAATGTCTACTTCTAATAAAAACTCATCAAAACGTGGGCAAAGGATATGAACCAACACTTCTCAAAAGAAGACATTCATACAGCCAACAGACACATGAAAAAATGCTCATCATCACTTGCCATCAGAGAAATGCAAATCAAAATCACAATGAGATACCATCTCATGCCAGTTAGAATGGCAATCATTAAAAAATCAGGAAACAACAGGTGCTGGAGAGGATATGGAGAAATAGGAACACTTTTACACTGTTGGTGGAACTGTAAACTAGTTCAACCATTGTGGAAAACAGTGTGGCGATTCCTCAAGGATCTAGAACTAGAAATACCATTTAACCCAGCCATCCCATTACTGCGGATATACCCAAAGGATTGTAAGTCATGCTGCTATAAAGACACATGCACACGTATGTTTATTGCGGCACTATTCACAATAGCAAAGACTTGGAATCAACCCAAATGTCCATCAGTGACAGACTGGATTAAGAAAATGTGGCACATATACACCATGGAATACTATGCAGCCATAAAAAAGGATGAGTTCACATCCTTTGTAGAGACATGGATGCAGCTGGAAACCATCATTCTCAGCAAACTATCGCAAGGACAGAAAACCAAACACCGCATGTTCTCACTCATAGGTGGGAATTGAACAATGAGATCACTTGGACACAGGAAGGGGAACATCACACACCGGGTCCTATTGTGGGGAGGATGGGGAGGGATAGCACTAGGAGATATACCTAATGTAAATGACGGGTTGATGGGTGCAGCACACCAACATGGCACATGTATACATATGTAACAAACCTGCACGTTGTGCACATGTACCCTAGAACTTAAAGTATAATAAAAATAAAAATAAATAAAAATAAAAACTCTCAGCAAACAAGGGATGCCCATTCACACCACTTCTATCCAACATTGTGTTAGAGATTCAGCCCAGTGTAACCAGGCAAGTAAAAGAAATAAAAAGGCACCCAGCTTGGAAAGGTAGAAGTAAAACTGTCTTTATTGGCAGATGACACGTGGTCTATATAGAAAATCTGATCAATCTATTTTTAAAAAGCTACTGAAACTAAAAAGTAAGTTTAGCAAACTTGCACAATACAAGATCAATATGTAAAAATCTTCATATATATAGTACTTCTGCATACTAGCAATGAACAATTGGAAACTGAAATGGAAAGACAGTATCATTTGCAAGAGCATCAAAAAATACTGAATACTTAGAAATAAATCAGATTAAAGATGTGGAAAACTCATATACTACAAAACACTGCTGAGAAAAATTAAAGAAGACCAAAGGGAAATATATACCTTACTCTCAGGTTGAAAGATTAAATATTAAGCTGTCAGTTTTCCCCAAATTTATCTAGAGATTCAATAGAATCCCAATAAAAATCTTACCAGGCTTTTTTTTTATAGAAACGGATAGAGTATTCCAAAATACATAAGAAAATGCAAAGGACCTAGAATAGACAAAACTACTTTGGAAAAATAAATAAATAAATAACAAAGCTAGAATAAGAACAATGTTAACTGATTTCAAGACTATTATTAAAGCTACAGTAATTAAGAAATAGACCTACATATACATGAACAACTGATTTTATTTATTTATTTATTTATTTATTTATTTATTTATTTATTTGAGACAGAGCTCCACTCTGTCGCCCAGGCTGGAGTGCAGTGGCACGATCTCGGTTCACTGCAACCTCTGCCTCCCAGGTTCAAGCGATTTTCCTGTCTCAGCCTCCCGAGTAGCTGGCACTACAGGCGTATGCCACTACACCCAGCTGATGTTTGTATTTTTAGTAGAAATGGGGTTATACCATATTGATCAGCCTGGTCTCGAACTCCTCACCTCAGGTGATCCACTGCCTCAGCCTCCCAAAGTGCTGGGATTACAGGTGTGAGCCACCGTGCCCAGCCTGATTTTTTGACAAATAAAATAGTCCCTTTAAACCATGGTTTCACTTTCCATGGTTTCAGTTACCATTGTCAACAGCTGTCTGAAAATATTAAACAGAAAATTCCAGAAATAAACAATTCATAAGTTTTAAACTGCATGTCATTCTGAATAGCAGTATGAAATCTCACACCATCCTGCTCCATATTGCCTGGGATGAGAATCATCCCTTCGTCTAGGGAACAACACTACTACCCCTTAGTCACTTAGTAGCCATCTCAGTTATCAGGCTATCACAGTACTTCAGTGCTTGTGTTCAAGTAACACTTATTTTACTTAATGGCCACAAACGGCAAGAGTAATGATGCTGACATACTGTTATAATTGTTGTATTTTATTACTGTTAGTCTCTTATTGTGCCTAACTGATAAATTAAACTTTATCATATGTATGTATAAATGTAGAGAAAAAAATACTGTATATGTAATTTGGTACTATCCACAGTTTTAGGCATCCACTGGGGGTCTTGAAATGTATCCCCAGCAGATAAGGGGGAACTACTGCATACAAAAGCAATACAGTGGAGACAGGATGGTCTTTTCAACAAATGGTGTTAGAACAACTGATATGTGTATATAAAAAATGAACTTTGTTCCATGCCTCACACCACATACAAAAAATTAACTCAAAATGGACACAGATCTAAATGTAAAACCTAAAACTACAAAGCTGTTAGATGCAAACAGAGGAGAAAATCTTTGTGACCTTGAATTAGGCAAAGAATTATAAGATTTGACCAAAAGCATGATCCATAAAAGAACTGATAAATTGGACTACATCAAAATTCAAAAGTTCTACTTTTGAAAAATCTTTGCAAAATCTACATCTGATAAAGGTATTGTATCTGAAATATAAAAAGAACTCTCAAAACTCAAGAATAGGAGAAAAACCACCCAATTTTTTAAATAGGAAAAAGATTTGAATATTTTCCTAAAGATATACCAATGGCAAATAAACAATAGGAAAAGTCTCAATATCACTAGTCATTTGGAAAATGTAAATTAAAAGCCTAATGAGATAACACTACATTCCTATTCTAATGACTAAAATTAAATAGACTGACAATA